AAATTCAAAAATATAATTATAAAATATAAAAATAAATTTAAAAATATAGCTAGAAAATATAAAACCACAACTGTGAATGTAAAAATAACTGTAAAATAAAAATAAAAAGTAAAAGTATAAAATAAAAAGTAAAAACAAAAAAATAAATATTTAAAATAAAATAAAAATAAAAATGTAAAAAAAAAATAAAAAAAAATAAAAAATATAAAATCTAATAATAAATATAACTACACATTGGGTGGCAGGGAGTGGAAAAACGAGGCCCCTGCTTTCAGCAGCTGCAGGTGCAGGGGGTTTTCAGCCCGGGGATGAAAAGAACTCTCCTTTTAATTGCTCTGCTCCCCCCCTTGGTCCCGAGGGAAGCAAAGCCTTTCCTTGCCTGGGCAGAGACGTTCCTGTAAACTTGGGAACGGGGAATGTCACCCCCTGGGCTGGGCAGGGGAAGGGACTTTTCCCTGGAGCCACCACAGAGGGAAATCTCGGGGCTTCCAAACCTTGGGGACACGGGGGCAGAGCTGAGCCTGCCCCTAAGCCTCTTCTCAGGTGCTCCCTGATATGACTGAGGCCTAAGACTGGCTGATCTGAGCTTAACTAAGCTTAACTGATTGATTTATTATTATTTATTTATTTTATTTATTTATTTATTTTTTATTTTATTTTATTTATTATTGTGGTTTAAAATAGTTCACAGTGGCTTAGTTATATGATTTATAATGGTTTATAATATATAATAGCATATTAACGATTTATAACCCGCTTGTCCAAGGCAACAGAGTTTTTCTGGGCCTCTCCAAAATCACCTTTGGTGCCCGTTCACCTCCTCTGTGGAGGTGACAGTTTGTTTGGAGGAGATTCCAAGCCCCAGAAGACAAGGGACCAAAGTCGGTTTGGAGCTGTCAGGTCCCCTCCACGGAGGGACACGGCTTGGCAGGGTCAGGAACTGTGTCCTGGTGGTTTCTCCAGCAGTGGGAAGGGCAAGGTCCTGGATCAGGGATGAGTGGACATTCCACTGTTGTCCAGTTGCTGTTTTCCCTCTTCCACTTCCAGGGGCACTTCCTCTTCCTGCATGGACTCGGCTTTGCTTTTCCCAGAGATCCCGAGGCTGAGCTGTGGGGACAGGGAGAAAATTCCCAGCCACAGGTTTTGCTCCATTCAGAAACCACTTTCCATATTGTTTCCAGCACTGGAATACAGCTGGAATAGAGTTGGAATAGAGTTGGAATACAGTTTTCTGTGCTTTGGGCCGTTGGAAATGGTAGAACCAGGATCA